AGGAAGCCTTCTGTCACTCTCTTGAGGCTGTGACAGGAAGGTCTTTTTGTCCTTCTGTCACTCACTCACTTAAGGACAAGTAAAAGTAATTTATGTGTTTTCAGGATAGCGTTTGTTCGTTCTTGCCTGGTACAGCATAACTATTATTCATTTCCGGAGAGGTTCCGGTTCGAATCCTAATGCATGTAGGTCGACCAATTACGACATAATATTATAACTTAGAAACACGGCTTCGTTCTTATCTTTTACTTATTGGCCCAGTTGCGTCCTTTATAATAATTATTATCTTTATCATTATTATTATTGTTAGTATCATTATTAGTATTATTATTGTCATTATCATTATTTAATTTATTTTATTATTATTAATATTATTATTAATATCATTATTATTATTATTATTATTGGCTCCATATCTGGTCAAAAAAATTTGGAAAACTTATCTGCACGGCTTTGGCAGGCATTGCAAAGGTAAAAACTTCATAGTTTGCTTTTCTATAGCTCAAGGATAGTTGTTGTATTATAGCAATGACAATGTAGCCGAATGGTTGGACAGAGAACGGAGATGATTTTTACGGTGTTTTCTCCCTTTTTACGTCTACTGTAGGTTCAGGCTTTCTTCGTGGGGGGGTTTTTTCTTTGTCTGGATAGAGCAGATGATTAGGTTGTATAATTTTGTTTTTTAGAAAAATATATTTGAGTGAGTTACTTCTCTTACTTCTCTATTTTAATTTAGATTTTATAGAATTCTTTTCGTTGACTTTTAGGAACCGTTTATATTTCACTGGTCGAAGAAATCAAACTTACACATTATGGGTTTTTAATAGTCACATGATATTGGTAGTCACGTGATATTGATAGTCTCATGATATGGGTAGTCACGTGGTACTGGTACACACATGATCGGCCTACGTCACTGGGTTTGGTGAGCAGTGTGTTGAGAGGTCTTTATCACGTTCCCTGTTGGCCCGGCGTCTGTGGTCTAGTGGTTGGGCTTTTTGCTCCTGCTCGACTCTCAACTGGGGACAATTTTTTTTGTTTTTTTGTTTTTTTTTAGTTGTTGGTTTTTTTAAAAATCGATTATCTCTATCTCTCAGCTTGTATGTTGTATCTCTCCTCATCCTCACTCAGCCTGGTGTGGCCCTGGCCCTGACAGGCTGTGTCGTAGCCCGCCTCCCAAATGATCTAAGTTGTATCAATAGGTGCGGAAGAGATGAACAATCATGGATAATCACAGGGAGGGGGGTGG